CCCCAAAACCCCAAAACCCCAAAACCCCAAAACCCCAAAACCCCTAAATTGTCTCAAGGGTTGAAACGTTTTAGGTTTTAGTTAGCTTAGTATGTATTAAAATATCTTATGTCTGCAGAGTGGGCACGAGTTTTTGTTCATATTCAACCACTTTTCAACACAATGCTGGTGAAATACATGTTTACAGTCAAAATCAAGCACATAATCAATTTTTTCCCTAAATTCAAGGAATCAGATGGTGCAAGAGTTTGTATTTTCATCCTCGTGGGCTAGCAAGGAGCGATTATACCTTTGAGATTGATATAAAGACCTCATTCTATTCAAGTTATAAATTTTATATATTTGTGAAAATCCTTCCTTACAAGTGTTATAGCTCAACAAGTAGATTAGCATGAATGGCAGGAATGCAAGAGCAAAGATTAGTGAAATTATGCTTGCTATTATTATCAAGACAATGCTGAACAGTACGAAGAAGGAGCAGAGTAGTATAGACAAGATATTTATCATTCAGACTATAAATGTCAACCTTGAGTCACAAGCTTGGAATAAGGATGGCTGGACGTTCACTCCTAGGTAAGCAACAACTGAAGTCATTCAGATTAAGGAAATACATATGAGCTTGATGCTGATGTACCACTTTGAATAATTCTTTCCCATTACTAAAAGTATAAACCATATCAGCTGCCAGACTGGTGTCAGATAAATCATCGTTTTCAAAAGCTGATCCCAATTTGATTTCTTGTTGGGAAAAAAAAAGATGACATTAGTTAGATTAGTAAAAGCAATCACGAAAATTGTGAGGATGAGTCTCAGGATTATTATACGTTCTTTAAGAAGGTTTATCATGTAAGAAGCTAGCTCTTTTGAAGTAAACCTTGAGTAGACTTCTCTTTCACCAACTTCATCGACAGGAAGGGGAAGGATACTGTTAATTGTTCTTAAGATACCCCCTTCTAAATATTCAACATTGCGGTTGATCAAGTCCGGAGCAGTTGCTTGAGTCATCCTCCGTCTTCTTCTCAAAGTTGTCTCCTCTTGAGTAGGAATTGGGGCTTCTTGCCCTACAACAGGGTTGCTTTCTAGAGGTTCTTCCATATTTTTGATGTTTATTTTTGGTAAAATTATATGCTTTTCAAAGTTATTTTGAGATTTGGGGTTTTGGGGTTTTGGGGTTTTGGGGTTTTGGGG